CTGGGGAACACAGTCACAACACATTGCATTCGGCAAACATTCCTTGCCTCCGGGTTTCCTGTAGCTTCATCAGATCTCTTAACCTCTGACCTCCCATCGGAACATCTGATCTTTCCCCCTTGAGCTGTAGAGACCTCACTTTCCTCTCTTCCCGACATTTCCAGATCTTGGGGGGTGGGTGGGGGAATTTTTACTCTCTTTCAATCATCTTCTTCCTTGGATTCAGACACCCAGAGCTTGGATGCTGGGAACTGTAGTAAAATAAAAGCCTCCTTTTCCCCACTCTGTCCACATTCCAACCCAGAACTGGACACTCCACCAAGTGAGGTCACAACAGAAACTCGCCCCTAGGGCTTGTCTTGTGCGCAAAGCCCATTGCGACAGCTGGCGTGCGGATCACAAAACGAGTCATCTGGATTTTGTCAGTCCCCTGGCTTCTTAGAAAAGGGGCTGAGCCAGAAAAGAAACAAGCCAGATTTCGTTAGCCGGCTGCCCCAGGAAAAAAAAATTATCCTGGATGGATATCATCCCCTTGCAAATCTGAACCGCATGCAACCTCAAGCACTTTCTTTAAAAAAGAGACATCTGCAAATATGAACATAATCTATAAGGGACACCCTTTTTCGAGAGTGCAAAGATCCTCAGAAGTATTATTTCCATCATCCTTCCAACACCCCTGTAGAGTAAGTCCACAACATATGTCAACAGAGTGGACAGAGAAACTTGAGAAGTTAAATGTTTGTCCAACGGCCTCTGGGTGAGTTTATAGGAGAGAGCTAAGCCAAAGGAATGAAAAACTGGGAACCACCAGAGCTAACAAAGCCATCAAAAACTGACACAGAAGATAAGGGGCCTAAATCTAATTGTGAATGCTTTTTGACGTTCCTTGCCCTGAGCATTCAGAGTCCATGGCCTTTCCTTAGTTGGCGGTTTTCAAGCAGAGGCTGAGTGTAGTCATGCATCTGCAGGCAGTTGGACTAGACTGTAGGATCACAGAATTGCAGGATCAGAAAGGATCCCAAATCTAGACCAGCCCTCACCAATGCAGAACATCTAACGCTGAGCATCCTGGACAGGTGGACATCTATGCTCTGTCTAAAAATTTCCACCGAAGGCGAATCCACCACCTTCCATAGAAATCCATTCCACCGTTCGAAGCTCTTATCATCTGAAAGTTCTTTCTAATGTTTAGTCGCAGTCTCCTTCCTTGTAGTTCGAAGGCACTTATTTGGGTCCAACCTTTCAGAGCTACAGAAAATAAGCCTGTTCCATCTCCCATGGATAGGTGATGACCTTTGGCTCTGACACTGTGACTTGTCTACCGCCAGCCCTCTTCTCATAATGCCCTTGTTTTCAGTAAAAACCGCCCCTCCCCTTTTTGAGAGGCATGCTGCAAGCATGGCAAGGGCACCAGAGCACCCCCCAAAAAACATGTACCTCTACATACCAATGCAGGACACCCGCAATTGCTGGAAGAACAAATAAACAATGCTCATACTGATTATTTGCTTTTGTTATTTTGTGCTGTCAATTGGGTTCCAACTTCTGAAGCTCCCAACAGAGTTTTTTATACGAGACATTCAAGGAATGTACTTTCCATGACGAAGTGGGATTTGAACCCAGGTCTTCTGAATCCAAATTGGACACTCTGCCCATACCACCACACTAGCTCTCCACCAATGATAATCATAGGCATCCTTCATTCTCGAAAGACTATGGTAACATGCTCTGAACTGAGGAGTGTCCCCTCCAGAGCATGAAGCCTGGGTAAAGTAACACGGAGGATAGGCTGTTATTTTGTGCTGTCAATTGGGTTCCAACTTCTGAAGCTCCCAACAGAGTTTTTTATACGAGACATTCAAGGAATGTACTTTCCATGACGAAGTGGGATTTGAACCCAGGTCTTTTGAATCCAAATCGGACACTCTGCCCATACCACCACATTAGCTCTCCACCAATGATAATAACTGCGAGTATAATGAGAATACTAGGTTAACTCCTGAAGCTTTTTCCATGATAATAACTGCGAGTATAATGAGAATGAGCTAGAATGAGAACCGATTACCACCAGAATATAAACTGAAATTTCAATAAAGGTTCAGTATATGAAATCCATCAGAATCAAGAACTAGGCCTTTACGACAAATACACTCAAAAGGAGAAATAATAGCACCTTTCATATTAATGTCGGCCTTCCAATACACCTAGAAGGGAGGCATTAATATGAAATGTACTATTGTTTCTCCATTTGAGATCTTAACAGAATGATCTTCCTACGTATAGCACACACATACAGTACATATGTTCTCCCGGTTTCGTCCATCAATGCTTTGTGGCTTAAAAAAGCAGGAGGCAAAATACACACCTGAGTATAATAATACGGCATGTCTGTTTATACTGAAATAAATAAATGCTGGATTTAAGGGTGAAGCATGTCCCACTTTTTTACGCTCTACGGACATCCGTGTACAGGTGGGTCCTATATGGCCTTTTAGATGCTGAATTTCAACTCCTGGCAGTCCTTGATAGCAGAGCACGTGATGAGGGATGATGGCATTCAAGTTGTTCCAACTCACTGGCCTTCCTCTGGTTAACTAGAATCCCAAGATTCATCCTGGCTGGAGCCGGGTGCAAAAAGCACACACTTAGAATTGTCAAAACTCTTGGAAGTCAGACATTTGCTGGTGGTTGCCCAGAATTGTGAGCAGCTGCCAGGACTGCTTTTGAGCATCAGAACAAGTTCAAGCCTTTTAAAAAACGCTAAATGGCTTGGGTCCAAGCTATCTCAAAGTTTGTATTTCTCATTATAAGCCAGTTTGGGTATTAAGATCATCAGGAGAGGGCTTTCTCTCAGTCCCACTACCATTACAGGTGTGCTTGGTGGGGACGGGGTGGTGGGCCTTCTCTGTGGCTGCTTCAAGACTTTGGAACTCCTTCCCACTGGCTGCCAGGTGGGCCCCATCTTTGTTGTCCTTCCGCAAGCAGACAAAGACCTTTCTCTTCAGGCAGGTTTTCCCTCAGTGACTGGCTCCTTGAATGTTTTTTTTTAATGGTTGGTCATGCCATAGTCCTCTGAATGTGTTTTGATTTTGTTCCCTATTTTTCAGTGTGATATTTGCTTCGGGGTTTTTTATGCTTATTTATTTCCCACCTATCTAGACTGAAGTCTACTTTGGGCAGTTAACAAGTTCATAAAACAGTATAAGATAACAACAGCAACAACAAAATATGATTCAAGCTGGCAACAATAAATTTTTTTAGCTTTAAATCTTGTCCTTTCCTCACGTAAGCCGCCTGGGGTTCTTCTTAAGGAGAAAGATGGAGTAAAAATATTTTAAATAAATAAATAAACCAACCAACAAAAAGGTGCTGACTCTCCTCACCCCAAGATTTCTTCCTTGTAGCACTGTGATTTGGGGGGGGAAGAGGAGTCATTTTCGTATAGATAAACATTTTGGGGTCAGAAATTCTTGCAGATCCAGCTCTATAGAGATCTATCGCGGCTGAACAATTTAAGAGCTCGGTGTAGTTTGGCAACACCTATTGTCGTCCCTCAGCACTGGCTAGACCAAATGGAGGTGGTAGGTCAACAACATCCAGAGGGCCAGATGTTGGCTACTCCTGGGGGAGGGCCTGATCCGTCACACAAAGCCAGCATCTTATAGGCAGTTCTAACACACCGACTTGGTGCAGGCTGCAGAATTCCATCAAATCTGTTTTTTTGTGGATATGATGTGCCATCAAGTCTCCTCTGATTCATGGCCACCTTATGAACAAATGATCTCCAAAACCTCATCTCCTCCACAGCCCTGCTCAGCTCTTGGAAACTCAAGCCTGTGGCTTCCCTTAAGGAATCAATCCACCTCGCATTCGGTTTTCCTCTTTTCCTGCTACAATCTTTCCCAGCGTTATTGCCTATTCCAGACCGTCCTGCTTTCTCAGGATGCGCCCAAAGTAGGACAGCTTCGGTTTCATCACTTTTGCCTCCAGAGAAAATTCAGGGCTTGATTTTATTTAGAACAATTTTTTTTTCTTTGTAACTGTCCGACCTTCTCACCCATACACGGTGACTGGAAATATGACAGTGTCTTGGTCTCTAGTGACACATCCTTACATGAAATTCGGTTATATAGCAATTAAGTATTTCACACGCCAAGATTAGGTGTAAGGTTGAATTCTAGTCTGTATTCAAACTGAGCTAAGAACCCGTCTCTGTCTAGGGAGATTTTTATTCTCCTTATTTGGGTAGCTATGCAGGAAATAAAGAGGACACTCAAACCAGGGAATCTTAATGAGAATGTTCTACTAAAAGTGTGATTAAATGCACATTATTTCCAAATAAATGCTGTTTTCATGACATCTGATGCCATGTAAACATCCCCCCAGAGTTTCACGCACCCTTAACGCCCAGAAACATGCACATTGATCAGCGTGAAGGATTCATGATCCATACATAGGCTGAACCCCCAAGCATGCCCTATTGGAAAAAAAAATTCTACAAGGGTAAGGAAGAGTCTTCCCCGTCTCCACACACAGAGAGACACGCAAATCCTGGAAACCGCCAAACCGGGCAGGGAAAAAAAACAGAACTGAACAAGCGATCACACCTATTCTAAAGAAATTGCATACCTCCCTAAATCCAGCAAGAAATTGCATACCTTCCTAAATCCAGCAAAATGATCACCGCCCTTACCTCTGTTAAAAAAAAAGCAAACCTCACCGATTCTCCTCGATTCTTCCGGGGCTGCTCAGAGAGCACTCTGCACATGCTCCACGGCGCCCTCTCGTTACGCACAGAACGCATTCAGGGGTCCCTCCAACCCATCCATGCCGGGGCTGGGAGCTGAAAGGCTGGGTGGAGGGACCAAGGGAGAAGTGGATCTCTTTTCTCTCTGTGTGTGTGTGTCCCTCAGCAGGAAGGAAGCTTCCTCAGCGCCAGGTTTGGGGCAGATCCACCCAGCCCGTCTCAGCCCCGACCCGGCGGCGATCGCCCTACCCACCTCAATCTCTCTCTCCGGGAGCGCACGAGGCTGGAGCGCCCCGGCCGAGAAGGGGCCTCCGGGAATCCCGGCCGGGGGGAGCCTTAGGCGGCCACCGAGGCAAGAGGACGCCGCCGATGCCTGCCTGCCTGCCTGGCTTCTCCCCGGCGTGGTTTTTCTCTCCTGCCGCCGATGG